GGTTAAGCGGGGCCCAGCGCCCCTCGGGATGGAGCAGGAAAGGCTGAGGGGTGGCGGCGGGGGGGTCCCACTTCTCCCGCACCCCACTTTCTGCCCCGGGCCCAGGGGGAGGTGTCGGGCTGGAGCGGGACCGCGGCAGCGCTGTTGGCTCTAGCGGCTCCCAGCCCTCGCAGCCAGCGTCCTCCGCGGGCCCGCCGCGCCGCTTCAAACGCCGATGTGCCATCTTGCCAAGAAAGCTTTAAAATATTTAATTCACTTGGGGAGATGGGGATTGCTGTGGCCGCCAGAGATAGGGATCTTGGCTCCTCGGCGGTTCCGTGGGATCGTCATCGCTTTGTGCTGTGGGAACACCGGCCAAGAGGAGCACCTGAGCGCTCCTTCCCTCCCCGGGGCACGGCGGGGTGCAGGACCTGGGTCCCGAGCCCGGGACGTGCTCCTCAGGGCGCGAAGGCAAAGGTGGGGACCGGAGCTGCACCTCGGGGCGCCGGCGGCACGGCGAGGGCGGACAAAGCAGGCAGGAGGCTGCCGCTGCGGTTTTGTGTCCCCTTCCCTCAGAAGCGGGGAGACGGCGTCAGCCCCAACGCTCGCTCCGAGCCCCAGAACCTGAGCCTGTCCCAGGAGAGGACAGGGCGCCGCGCCGGCGGGACGTCGGGAAGGCGAAGGAAGGGCTCAGCTCTGCCGTCAGGGCCTGCCGCTCGCCTCCGAGCACAGTTAACGACTTTTCCCCTCCTTGGATGGAGAGCGTCCAACGGCAACGCAGTCCCAACCTTCACACTCAGTCTGATGAAACATTAAAAGCTTTTCTGTCCTGAAAAACCGCTGCACGAGTGGGAAGGCAGAGCTCCACAGCTCCGGGGGGAGCTGGAGTTCCTCCCGCCGTTGGGTTCTGCCTTGTTTTTCCTGCAGGTGAACAAATCCCCGGTGTAAAATCAGAAAGGAAAAAGCGAACGACACGGGATCTGGGCTGGGGGTAGGGATCGGGGCCGTGCGAGCTCCTGCTCCCTCGGCCAGGCTTTTGCAACACCGCGCAGGGCTGCCCGTGCCATCTGCACAGATCGCCTGGGCGAGGGCTGCAGACGCCAGTTCGGCATCGGAAGAGATCCGCAGGTGAAATATTTTTAAGCCGGGGAAGGACAGAATTGGACACCGAGTTATCCCCATCGTAGGGCCGACTGCTCGACGCCTCCGTATCCTGCATGAATGAATTAACCTCTGCTTGGTTCTAGCGTTTCACCTGCCGAATCCTCGTTTTTGTAAATGAGGAGACTGAGGCACGGGGAGGGGAAGTGCTTCACGTACAAGCTCCCAGGTTTGGCCCTTTGCCACCCAGCTGCAGGCCTGCAACTGCCCTCACTGGCAGAGGGGGGCAAGGAGAAGCTGCTCATTAGTTTTTGATCGTTACACCGGGGATTGTCCTCAAATGGAAACTGCACTTTCTTGCTGCGCAGGCAGGGCGCACCTCCGGCTGTAGGGCGTGCAGGAAGGGCTGCCCGCTCCTGCAGCCTCCCATAACGGCGTCATCCTGAGAAAAGAGGGTCCTGAAGAGGCCACCTGGGCAGCCCCCCCACTCCAAAGAGGAATCTTGATTTTTTTAACTTTATGAAACTTGGGTTTTAAAGCCTCCAGTGAGCCACGGATCGCTGGGCAGGGGCAGTCCATTCTCGCGTCCGTCCTTCTGCGTTACCCAGCTGCTCCGAGCCCCGGCGGTGCCGTTAACTCCGCTGCAGTTCGTCTCCCTTCTCAGTGCAGCTCTGTTAAGTGTTTAAGGACTAGTCCTCATGCCTCTCTCCAGCATCCTCTAGACTAAACAAATCCGTTTCTTTCCATCTGTCCTTGCAGGTCATGTTTTTCCTACACCTCTGCTCATTCTCACTGCTCTCCCCTGGAGTCCCTCCAGCTCCTCCCAGAACTGGACAGTGTTCCAGGCGAGGCCTTACCAGTATCTAGGAGAATTATTCCCTATGTCTGGCAGACAGCACTCCTGTTTATGCATTCCACAGGGCTGTTTGCTTTTTTGTTGTTGTTGTTGCAACAATATGACTTTGTTTGACTCCTGTAACGCTTCACTGCAACCCCTAGATTTCCTTCTGAAAGCCCTCAGGGATTGCACCAGATTAAGGATGGAGCTGCTGCCCCTGCCAGGACTGGAGAGCTGAACCCTGGCTCTAAGTCCTGCTTCCAGACCAAGCTTCGGGCGTTTCTCTGGAATATCGAGTAGCCAGTCTGGCAGCCTTTGGCCCAGGAGATGGGTGACAAGAAAACGAGCACTCCGTGGAGCTGCAAGCCCCTTTTCTGGTAACAAAACCAGATATAAGCCCCCCGACTGACACCTGGGTAGCAGCTGCTTCACCAGAGCTGCCTGAAACACCGAGCAAGAGCCGCCTGCATGGCTGGACGAGGCCTGGACGTTGGAGGGAGCGTCCCAGGAGCTGCAGAGCCGAGCGTTCGCGTGGTGTCCTAGCCCTGGGCAGGAAGAGGGGAGAGAGCCAGCTCCTGAAACAAGCCAGGCCCAGCACTCTGCAAGGGATCCGGGAACAGCTGGCAGCCACGTACAGCGCCTAATGTTAGATCTGGCTCGGAGTCGCCTCCTGAGACGAAGGTTCCGAGCGCTAGAGAACAGCAACGGCGTCTTCCAGCTGTGGGAACCAAAGCAGCAAAACCACGAGGGGAGACATCAGGGAACAGCCCCCGCCTTGGGTCCTCCGCCCAGGGAGGGACAGACCCTATTACTGACAAAACCACATCTCCATGGGACGCGGGCAGAGGTGATTTAATGCAAGAACTTCCCTGATGCCGGTGGAAAGACACTCAGCTTTACAGCAGTCCTAATTTGGGCTGTATCCTGCAATCTCTGGAAGCTGGGAAAGCAGAGCTCTCGGCGTCCCAGAAAGCCCCAAAGCTGACCGATACCTGCTGCCGCTGTCGGCAGCAGCCCAAAAAGCCACTCCAGTATCGGCGTGGTCCGTAGGGCACCACTCCAAAGACTTGCTCTCTGAGAGGACAACACTCTCTTGCTCCCTTGTCTTCCTGGTATTGTTTAGAAAAACATTCTGTATTCCTCCTACGTGGCAGCTGTTCTTTCCAGGTAGGGGAAGAGCCATCTCCTCTGCAGCTCTTGCTACCAAAATATCCTCCCAGTGCACTTCTCCTTGTTATCTCTAACTTTTTATGTTCCTTAAGCAGCAGCCCACTCCTTCCCTGCAGGGGAATTTTTTTGTTACTCTTTTTTTTTTTTTTTTTTTTTTCTTTCCCCCCTTCATAAATCTTAAATTGGAAGGCAAAACATGTAAGCCAGACCAGGAGACGAGCAAGCCTCTAGAGCTGTGCAGAACCCTGTTAATTTAGTTGAACTAATTAGGAAATCTGTTGATAACAGAGCTGCCGTGCCTTTACTCTGCAAACACTTGTGTTCTCCTTTTGAGTTTAAGGTAAGCTGAACCCGTAAACACATAAGGAGCTTCATGTGCCGACTGCTTCCGCGATGAACACTGTGATGAGGACTTAAAAAGCGCTTAAAAGTATTTGTTTGAGTCTTGTCAGGCAATCGGGGGATTGAACCTTGACTTCTTGGTTCCAGGAAAGCATTTCAGCAGATCACAAAGTAGCTTCTGTCACAGACGGGCTTCCCACACACGATTCCCAAATCTCAACCACTCCTGCGTTTGCCTTCCCCTCAGAAACGTCAGCTCTACAAAAGGAAATAACGGGGTGCAGAGAAGCGAACTGACTTGTGATTTTTATAGCAAACAACAGATTTCAGGATTGCTTAAGAGCAAGACGGTGCTCAACCTCGGAGTAATTTAACTGGAGGCAGCTGCCATGCGAGTACTGACCCAACTCTGCTTTAGTTTCAGGGGCGCCCGCTGGACACAAGAGCCAACATGAACGTGGGAACAGCACACAGCGAGGTGAATCCCAACACCCGTGTCATGAACAGCCGGGGCATCTGGTTGTCCTACGTCCTTGGAATCGGCCTGCTGCACGTCGTGCTCCTGAGCATCCCCTTCTTCAGCGTCCCTGTGGTTTGGACTCTTACCAACATCATTCACAACATGGTAAGGGAACAACGGGGCTGGCTTGACTTCCCCGGGGCACGGAGAGGTAATCTCTCAGCACCAGCTGGTCTTCTGAGAGCAATCTAGTAAGATTCTTGTTGAAACAATTCCTTTCTCTGTGTTTCCAAAGACGCTGGGTAAGTTACTCAACCTCCACCCCTCAGACTGCACCTTTGCCTCTAGGTCATGTATTTAAATCCAGCCTAGGTACCAATCAGACAGCAAACATCTGGGGAGGCTGCCCAGAGGGGACACGGAATTCATTTGCCTGCAGGGCACGACCCTTTGTCACGTCCCCCTTAAGAGAGGAATAGCTGTGAGAGGCCACAGAAGCTGCCACAACAGCCTTGGGTTGATAAAATCTGAAATGGCCTCATCGGAGTTAAGAAAACAAGATTAAACGCCAAACTTTGTTCTGCTTAAAGCAAAAGATTATTCCAGGAACCGATTCTCCCCTTGTAGGGCTCAGGTTCCTGAAGGAAGGGGTGTCGGAGGGCTGTGCTAGGGGCAGGCACAGCACGTGTGACAGATGCCCGGGTTCCCTGTGCTGCGTTTGACCCCTCGGTTCTGTGCCTCTGCGTCCCGCTGCGCTCGGCTTGGCACGCCCGGGGCCTGTGCCTGGGGAGCAGAGCTCTGGGCAGCCCTTCACCCTCGGGCGCAGGGGACAGAATGCTTTGGAGATGCAGCAGAGGATTTGCTATCCTGTATTTTAAATAAGATCTCAGCCCAAGAATGCCCCAGACACAAACCTTATGGGGGACCCTCACTCTAACATTATGCATGGCTCTAGTGGGGGGAAAAAAAAATAAAAATGCCCCAAACCACCAAACTGCCACCTGGAGCTGCTTGGGGCTCAGTTCAGAGGCTGCCTGCTTTTCATCCAGCTCCTTCCTCAAACAGTTCCAAGTCCTGGGAACAGAAAGGAGGCCAAAGGCCAGGCGTGGCTCCACGCAGCAGATGCAGCCAGACACTTGCTGGTTATCTGCCAGTTGTGTCCCACTTCACCCCCTCGCAGCCCACAGCTCTATCAGGGCTTTTCCGAGGCTCCAGCGCCGCTGCTGCACGGCCCAGCCCGTCCACGCTAATCTCCCAATCCCAGAGACCCGAGGGCTGTCACCTTGCAACCACCTTCTTGGCTTACACCCAGCGAGTGGCCTCACGCGTCAGAGCCAAGCCTGAGCTAGCCCCGGCTAGCGGCTTCCTCGCCTCGTTGGCCGCCGCCAGTCCCAGCAGCACCAGCACGTCCCTCTAGTGGAACAGCGCGCTGGTGCAAGCTCCCGCCACCGCCCTGTCCTCGCTGGAGCCGAACGCTGGTGGGGGGCGAGGCGAGGGGCTCCTCACGCCGCCTTTCTGTTTGCTCCAGAGCATGTACATCTTCCTGCACACCGTGAAGGGAACCCCCTTTGAGACCCCGGACCAGGGGAAGGCTCGGCTGCTCACGCACTGGGAGCAGATGGACTACGGCGTGCAGTTCACGGCGTCGCGCAAGTTCCTGACCATCATGCCCATCGTCCTGTGAGTACCGCGGGCAGCGGAGCGGCCTCGGCGCCCCCGCACGTGGAGTCCTGGGAGAGAAAACCACGAAGCGCTGTAATTCGGTTTCCCTCTCTCTCTCTCTCTCTCTGTGTTCCCCACCCTTCCAGGTATTTTCTAACCAGCTTTTACACAAAGTATGACCGGATACACTTCATAATCAACACCATCTCCCTTATGAGCGTCCTGATCCCCAAACTGCCTCAGTTTCACGGAGTCCGGATCTTTGGGATCAACAAGTACTGAACTGCGTGGCTGGAGCGGACGGAAGAGGAGCAGGGGAGAGGGGGAAGCTCCTTCTCTCTAGTCCTGGTTCTTCATCCCCACGCACACTGGGATATAGTTTCACAGCGGCTGTTTAAACGCAGTATCCAATAGACATATACCGCATGCTGGATCCTCATGCCCAATAAATCTAAACAAGCTCCAGAGTAGAGTTTAGTGCAGAGCAGGACGCGTTGGCGCTGGATTCCCTTCATTCCAGCGCCATCACTAGATGCAGATACACCGAGACTTCAAGGTACAAAGAGAGAGATTGCCATCTGTCCCGGACACTGAACGATGAGGATAGGGATGAGGGGGAAAAGCTTTTAGTGCTGGTACTATTGCTGTGGTAAATGCACTTTAAAATAGATTTCCCTTTTTGAGCTGGGTGCTTTAAGCGTTATGTGGGGGAAATTCAAAAGGATACAGCCAGGCTTTCCCAATACTTGATTGTTTCGGGGTTCGAGTTCCATTTTTGGGCAGGGGAGTGGGAGGGGGAAGAGAATGACAGATTTTTATTTTGCAATCTTTTACACCACTGAAAAAAAAGGAAGTTCTTTTACTATAAGCAGTACAGGAAGGAATGACCTGCAGTCTGACAAAGCTTTCAGCTTTCTACAGCACCATTCGGGCGGTTCAGGAAAAAAGGTCGATAGATCCTAAATCAAATTCGTTATTTTCAGCTTGTTTCCAGAATCCGTCTGGGTAATTCCGCTCCCCACCCCAAACCGCTCGTGTTTAAGCGCGCTTTGAGCACCCGGGCAGGGCTGAAGGGCTGGGGTGCAGGTTATTTTAGTGATCAACAACAAACACCACCGAGCTCCTCGGTACACGGAGACCGCACGAGCGAAGGAGAAACAGGCCAAAGGAGAAACGGGCGCCTGCGTTTCTCTCCTCAGACCGGAGAGAAACGGCATTTCTCTCCTCAGTGCAGCTCTTGGTCTCTGAAGCCTGTGTAGGTGTTACTGGGATTTGCCAGTGGGTTTGCTCGGTATCTGACTCGAGGCAAGCGAAGCGTTTGGTTTCTGGCTTGCCTGGAAGTCTTTGTCACTCAGCTCCACGCACAAGCGCTGCGGCAGCATCCCCCGAGCCCTCGGGTGATCCCGGGCACGCTGACACGCAGCAGACTGCCGCGACCAACAGCAGGATGCCAGGGGTCACTGAAGAGAATAGATTACTTAGTATAGCAACAAAATGGAGCCTTTTTCCCGTAAAATCGCCACCTAAATAAAGCAGGTTTGCAGGTTTAGATTTCCTGGCTGAGATCGCTTTCCACTGCTCAAAGTAATCCTTTTTTTTTTTTTTTTTTTTTTTTTTTTTTTTTTTTTTTTTTTTCCTTGCACGCTGGATGAAATGGGGGTTTCCTTGTGCTTCCCCTGTAAAATCCTGAAAGCCTGTATTGTTGTCTTAGTGCTTCTGTTGTCTCAGACTTTTGACAATGGTATAAAACATTTTAAATATGCTCTTTTTTTTTTTTTCCCCGCATTAGCCAATTCTAGCTTTCGAGGTCATAGTGGATATTGTAGAGTTCTGCTCGATGGTCTGAGCATAGGACATGGATAGGGGAACTTCAGAGTTGCGTCTAAGATCTAGTACTACTCCATGCATAATTTTGGACACGTTGCTTTACTTCCCTGTCTCAGACTTACTATCAGACTGCTGCAGAGAAGGGACAAGCATCTAGTGTACCTCAGAGGGCTGCTGGAATGCATAGAGAATCAGCACACAATAGGTTTGAAAAATGGAAATATTTGAAGTGAAAAGTTTTCAAGAAAGTAGAAAGAGCGTCTGGCTTGACGCCCTGTTCTCCAGCGAGGGAGTCTGACAGATGTGCAATTCACCTGACGGGGGTTTAACCTTTTAACCCCCGTGACATAAGGATTGCTGCTTTAGTCAAGGTACTATATACCCTAAAGCTAATACACTCTTTAAGCTACTAGACAATGACTTTTGAAAAAAAAAATAGTGGTTTCAAACCAGAGATATTTCATCAATCAACCAAGTACCTTTGAAGTGACTAGGACATGAGCGGTGTCAGTGCCCGGAGTGCTCAGGGCAGGGCTGCCCACGGCTCTACCCACCGAGCGTAGCGCGGACGGCACGTTGGCTTCACCGAGCTGACCGTCTGCCCGCAGACACAATTACACGGCAGTGATAAATCTCCGGAGGAAAGAAAACTGCTTATTTTGGTAGAAAACGAGGGGGAAAATAATCCAAGTTTTTTGCAACAGAAGCAGTCACTGTATGCTTAGAAACATTACTCCTATCTAGACAGACATATACTGGTTATTCCTAAGTGTATGCACATCACACAAAGTCAGAGCAGTTTTGATATTTTTAACAGAAGTATAAACTGAGGTCAGCTCCTCCCCAGCAAGTACAGCCCCGCGCAGTTTCTTGAAGGCCTTGGCGTTAAAACAGCTGAGGGTTTGAACACGTTATTTCTGCTGTTAACTGGCGCTATGGACAGCTGGTTCTGTTTGTTAAATTAAAGATCAACTGTGAAACAGAATGGGATTATAAACTCCTCAGAAAGGCAGTTTTTAAAGCCTAAAGTCTAAAACTTCTTGTTAGGCAAAGCCTTAATGACAGTAGCTTTTCTGATTTACCTTGTTCACCCCGAAACGATTAAACTCGCCGTTCAACGGATGGGTGTCAGGTGGCAAATGACTTTCTTTACAACACAGGGGTTGCATTTTTGCCACCAAATATCCGAAGTGAACTTGGGCTCATACAGTTCATCCAATCAAGGGAAACATAAATGAAAAGAGAAAGTACAGAAAGAAGGGAGAGAGTTGAAAAAAGATGTCATATTAATAATGTGGTGTGTTAAGTACGTAAGGTTAATAATTACTTGAACAATTCTACACCCGATACGATCTTTCTTAAGGTCCCATCTTAAGGGTAGGTATCAGAATTAATCAAAAATAGAAAAGAAGCCATAAGTTAATTGTAGTTAAACCACAGTTGCAATTGCTCCTCGCTAGGTGTACCCGGGGTGGCTTTCAGTGACAGAGCTTTGGGTGCTGCTGGGCGTACACGAGCCGCCCGGCTCCCTGCGGTCGGTGTCACAGGGGCCACAGCAGCACCCGGCTGAGTTTCCACTTGGAAACCACCACTGCAGCGGGGCCAGAGCAAGGGGCGCAGCCCTGGGCCTCTGTGCTGAAATCACTCCGGGTCACGTGCGTTTAAGTTCACACAGGAGCGAGTTCGCACGAGTTACGGGGCACGGGCAGGACGCTGGAGCTCTCCTGGGATAACCGATTCCTGAGGAAGGGCAGATGGGGCCGCGGAGGCAGGGTGAGGGACTTGCAGCCGTGTCCTCGCAGTGGTCCGAGGGTGAAGCCTACCTTTTGGTGTGGAGAACCAGACTGTGAGGGCAAGGGCTGTCCGTTCGATCCTGCGGACTGTCGAGTCTTCTCCCAGTACCTGTGTGAGGGAGATGATGGATCGTTATTGATTTTAAGTGGGATTTGGATCGCATTGCACTTGACAGCTTTTCCTCTCAAACTTGTCTTCCTGTACAGCGGCTGGGGCCACTTAAAGGTGGGGTCTGTCCTGTGACTGAAAAACAATTACTGCATAAGTAGGTACTTTAAAAAATGCTTTTTTTTTTTTTGTTCTGCAATGAACGCCAAAGAAGAAAAGCTTTTGAAAGCCATTCGCAGACACTGGCAGAAGCCTCCCTCTGCCCCATCCTGTCCTGGGCAAAGCCTCTCCCAAGCCACTCACAAGACCAGGCATGTGTTCCCGCAGAGGGGCAGCCGCTGCGCCAGGAAAGGCAGAAAACAAGGAAAGGCAGAAAACAATCGAGCACTAACCGGCTGATACTTCTGAATTAGGGATCCTGCCTTGTGATTCACTTAACATAGCTCACCGGATGTCATACAGTCCAGCCCTTCGCAGGAAAAAGCCTTTTAAAAACAAAACAAAACAAAACAAAACCCAAACTTGAGGTCTAGGGCTACTTAATTCCTGAGTACTTTTTTTTTTTTTTTTTAAATGATTGTTTAATTTTTTTGTTTGTTTTAATAGAAGCATGGTACTGGCCCTTGAGAAGGGGACAGCAGCTGGTTACCGTTGTTAACACATTAAGTCTTTCTCATTGTGACTTGCGTTGCTTTATCATTGCCTAGAGTATCTTTTAAGCATGCGAGTGTTTTGTGTGTACGTATCCTCCCTGATTCAGTTTAAGTGAGCTGAATTAGTTGGGGTTATTTTTTAATGGAACGTTCTGACATTGTACAAAGTTTTAGGGTTGGTTTGGTTTTTTTTTTTCTTTCCCCCCCAGTAGCCCTTCTTTTTGCTGTGTATACAGAAGTCTCACGTAGAGAACTTTCTAAAACAAAGTGTGAATATTTTTATTACTCCTTTGTACAGTATTCTGAGAGAAACTAATAAAGTAAGTATTCATGTACAAACTTGCGTTTGACTGCTTGAATTTTCACACGGACAGGTTCTGCTTTTAGACAAGCGTGGCAGAGTGATTCCAAGCCCACCAAGTGATCCAGGGCTGTAAAGCGAAGAGCTTGCAGCCCACTGCGTGGATCCCCGCGCAGGGCACCGCAGTGACCTCTGCCACTAACAGTGAGCCATAAAGCATGGCAACCTGTGCATCACCAGGCCAAAGTTAATAAAAGTGCCTCCAAGAAACATTATATTGACCCCTTGTGCTCACCGCCCCTCGGTATGTAGCTCTCTCGCAGGTTTGGTGAAATCCCCCTAAACCAGGACACACCGTTCCTCATCCCAACGGATCAGGAGTACAAACAAAAGCCAGAACCTTGCCAGAAATGGGACAAATCTTACAGGAACGAGGCATCCGCAGAACAAGTCGCCACGACAGATCGACAGCGATTAACTGTGTCAACAGAGGTTCAGCTCGGGTCAGTGAAACTTTCTGCAGGAAGAATTACGCAAGCGACAGCCTTTCTATGCCCCAACCTAGCAGATGCTTCCGGCTCCGCGAGCAGAGGCGGGCAGAGCTGCGCGGAGGGGCCCCATCGCTGCCCCACGCACCGACAGCCGACCGGCCGCCAGGCACCCCCCAGACAGGCAAGTAGATTTTTAAGAGCTTTCGGTACAAAATTGGGGCGGAGCAAACTGTCTGTTAATTGTTCTGGTTTAGTTTTTCTTTCTTTCCGGAGTCTCCCAAGGGATTGAGTCCTGTAAGAACGACTGAAATGCTCCCACATTAAAGCGCACAGGACTGTTTCCCCCTCCCTAGCTCCACCGCGTTCAACACCCCATCCTTTGCGATGTGACCGTCTTCCTCCTTTCTGGACGAATCGGACTAAGCCAGTCTCTTTTTTCAGACCCCCGCGGGACCTTAGGGAGAGGGAAGATTCCCCCCTGTTTGCTCATCTGAACCGCGCACGGGGATCAGCGTCTCTTCTCTAGCCAGACCCGCTAGAAGGTGCAGAAGAGGGGAGAGACCCGCAAGCTTTTCTTCTCAGTAAGTACAGGAGGTTTTTTTCATTTGTAGATCAAAGTTGTTCTGCATCACGCCTCACATATGGCAACTGAAGCGAGAAGCCAAACAAACTGGAGTAAAAACCGAGCTGCAACAGGAAAACCAACAGTCATTTCGTTTCTGCCTCTCCAACACGCAGCTCTCCTCTGCGGGGGATACAGGCAGAGCGCCAGGGCATACCCAGGTAGCTGTGCTGGGATTTATATTTTTTTTTTATATATTTTGGGGGACGTTTGCCATAGAACAAGCTCTCCTACGTCCCCCCTCAACCCACTCTTCAACTCTCAGCACTTTCACTTCCTTGCAGTAAGACGCTGATGAAATCATTTTCCTAACGCTCCGTTTCAAAACAACGTGAACCCATTCCTGTCTGCCGGGCAAGAGGACACACAGGGGAAACGCAGAGGCAAAACCAGCAAGAAATTGCTCGAGCGCTTTTCAAACTTAACATCAGGGCAACGCATTAATTAAAGATTAAAGCATTTAGGGCTGTGATAGGTCCTAGGTTAAGGAGCAAGGTCTACTTTAGTAACGAAAAGGATTATGGTATGTACTGGTCTATGTAACAAAATACCTTAGTGGAAAGAGCTGCCTCCCCAGTCCCCACTGGGAGTTCATCAGAAAGGGGGATGAGCCCGAACAAACCACGGCTCGTACTCCCACCCCTCCAGGTGCTTCCCTGTGCAGTCCTGTGAAAAGCGTGTCCTGGTACCAACGTGGGATTTTATAGGTTACCCTCATTCTGGAAGAGTTCTTATTAACTAAAAGTAACAGATATTTTCTCATGACCTTCTGATTATATTTCAAGTCATTTTGCTTAACTTGTCTTGCCTCTTTCCTAAGGCACAAGGACACGTCGCTCTGGTTCAAAAATTCATCCGGCCACGGCAGAATGTTTAAGAAAGTCACCCAATCCCTCGTAAATCAAATAGACCCAAAAGGAGACCTGGTCCCAGTTCAGAGCATCTTAGACCACGAACATTTCAGACTCCTCTGCCTTGTGAGAAGAAAAAGAAAAACCATATTCTGCCCATCTCCCCGCTACAAACGGACGTGCTACAGATTCGACGACGTGCTGCTGCCTAGAGAAGGCGATAAAAGCACAGGTAAAGCCCAGGTTTATCATTCTCAGGTTTTCCATTTCCATAGACAAAACATCTGGATCATTTGTGCCTGAACTCTATGTTTCTGGTGCGTGCAATAGTTATAACATGGAGTCTGTGGAATCATGCTTAAGCTAATGCATCAAATTATTTCAGAGTTCCTCTTTCTCAACGAAGCTGGTCAAGGTTCAAGTCAGTTTACAGTCAAGAAAAGCTTCAGTGACAAAGTTGATGGGAGTCTGAGCCTTTGTGTTGACTCTACAAGAGTAAAGGTGCAAGGAGCTTTCTCCTTGTCCAAAGGATGGTCCATCAAGCTGGAGAAGAACCACATCTCGGTCCCGAGACTCGACGCACTGAGAACAGAAAGGTAAGGCAGACACAGGGAGAACCTGCAGTCATCCTCCTCTACCCCACGCCAGGGCACACAAGGGTTTTTCAACAGCCAAACCCCAAGATTAAGACCCGAGAGCATGCATTCCCCCTAAGCATGCATACTTCTGGAGGACGGGAAAGAGAGGTGATGAAGATTCCTTACGTGGCGTTGTAATGCTTATAAGTGGCTCAGCTGGAGCCAAGCCATCTCTTCCCAGGGTTTGTGCCTGGAGAGGAGCATGGAGAGCAGGACACGTCACCTGTACGACCCGCCGGGCCACGGCCTCGCTGCCCCAGTCCCCCTCAGACATAGGAGGGGAACACACCGAGGACAGCAACTACTGCAGCCCGTTTTCTGCCATGTTTTTTTTTCCCCCAGAAGCTCCCGACGCTGTGGTATTTACGCGTACTCGTGTGACCACAGAAGGGACGCGAGCAGCAGGCTCCTGACTCCGCGTAGACTACAGAGCTTTTGTCACAGCTCACAGAAAACCAGACACTTTCAGCCAGGATATTGATCCTTTTTCTCCTTTAGAAAACTGAATGTGAATCACTCCTTCATTAAACAACTCCAGAAAACTGGCCAGAATTTATACATCGTTCACGAAACACTAGAAAACTCCGAGGAGACCAGCTTCGAGGAGTCCACCAAGGCAGACGGGAGCTTTGCAGCCCAGCTTTACGCCGAGCTTTGTACAAAGGTTTGATCTCTCTTCGGGCTCAGGAGTTGCTCCTTCCCAAACGCCTGCACACCATCCAGGCCTAGTAACTGATTTTTTATTTTTTTTTTTTCCACTGAGCAGGGCACCCGAGAAAGCAATGAAAGCATAATTATACCCAAGGGCTGCACCCTGGCGTTCAGGGCGATCCACCTGACCATTACAGATGGATCGTGGGGTAAGTAACTTTCAGAAACTACCAAGGCCTCCAGGCAGGAAACAACACAGAAGAGGGAAAACCATCTTCTGAATTGCATTCAGCCTCACGGTCGCCCTTAGCTCATTTGCAAGGACACGGATGCAATGAGAGTGACGGAAACCGCCTGGGAAAAGGCCGTACGTAGTACGTAAGGGCTACCCGGGAAAGAGATACGGTTCTGGGGGGTTTGGTAAGGAAACGAAAGAGCAATACTGAAGTCTCAGCTCTAAATTTCAGGAACTGCAGAGCTCCTGCTGAATAATGGCACAGAGGGCAGAGGTTTTCCTCTTCTTGCCCTACTCAGGAGAGGAGCCAGGGAGAAGCACAGGGCGGCTGACCCCTCAGTGGGAAGACTGGTGTAAAAAGACACTTACGCTGCGTAGGTAAAGAGGGGACCGAGATCCACAGAACCTGCTGCAGGATCTGAGAGACCGCGCTTGGCTTGTGTCCCCTCTGCTCTGTGCTTCCCACACCCACACGGACCCTGCCCAGTACAAGCCGTGATTTTAATTTACTCGTATTTTAAGACACTTACCGGTCAATATAAGGCACATGATAGGGAATAAGGTGTTGGAATAACGAGTTTTAAACGAATGGGCAGAGGACAGATGCACGGGGGAAGAGTACGAACAGCAGTCTGACCTACGCCTAGCACGTGAGAGTTCAGAACTGGGATACCAGTATCTTCAGGCTTAAAAACGACTGCCCTGGTAAAACACACACACACACCCCATCCAGCTTTAAGTATTTTCCTACATCAGTCATGCCCTTTTTATCCTGTTGCAGATCTTGACTATTTCCCAGGAGAGAGTTCAAAGAAGTTCGTATCTGACGGTGAGCAATGTGTTTTACTACTACTTGCACCGCTTTTACCCACTTCGGGTGAGATGGGATCTCTCAGGATCACAGAATCATCCAGGTTGGAAAAGACCTTGAAGATCCCCTAGTCCAACCATTGAGGATAAACACAGAGCACCAAAAGCAACGTGTTTACCGCAGAGCGCTGCCTGTTACCCGAGACGCGACAACCATCCAACTCAAAATTGCGTATTGCGTTTGAAAATACCCACAGAAATGTTTCAAATTCTAAACCCGGGGGTGCCAGTGAACTTCTTGTGGGATTGTCTGGTTTAGAAGTGACGTATTTGGGCTCTCTGGTTTTCAGGTTTCTCACAAGGAACATTAGGAACGCTGAAGACAGAAGTTGGACAGAATTTGACAATTCTCTCGAAGTTGTCTTCTGATCTGTGTGCCGTATTTTTAAAAGCCATCAAAGGTGTGATGAGAGACAGGAACCTCTTTCACGAGCTGAGCCAGAAAGTAAGCAAAGTTCTCCTTACTGCCAGGATTTATAAATACAGAGACAGCCATGATCTCGGGGGGCTCCTGAGAGCAGAGCAGAGGGGTGAAGCCCCTCGCCCTGCCGCCCACCCTGCTCTGGGTGCAGCCCAGCACACGGGTGGCTTTCTGGGCTGCCAGTGCACAGTGCTGGCTCCCAGGCAGTTTTCCATCCACCAACACCCCCAAGTCCTTCTCCTGGGGGCTGCTCTCATCCCCTCCTCGCCCAGCCTGGGTTTGTGCTGAGGATTGCCCCAACCCATGGGCAGGACCTTGCCCTTGGCCTCGTTGAACTCCATGAGGTTCACACGGTCCCACCTCTCCAGCCTGCCCAGGTCCCTCGGGATGGATCCTTCCCTCAGCATCCTGACCACACCACACAGCTCGCTGTTGTCGGTGAACTTGCTGAAGGTGCCCTCAATTCCTTATATACAGCCTTGCAGATTTACCTGAAGGTATCAAACCGTTTAAATTTCATGTTCTGGCTTTAACTGGAGCCAGGGAGAATGCTAAAGCCTCAATTACAGCCTCATAAGTAGCTTAGGGAGGGGGGACACATGACTGTTCATAGGCTTCTGTCTCTAGACTGCAAGGGATCAGCAGCAGCCTCTTCTCTGAAATCCTGGTGTTTCTTTTTCTTATCTTCCTAGATGGAAGCAGTTCTTGACGAAACGGATAGTTGTGAGCTGAAAACAGAAAGCCCGGACCTAAAAGACCTGTTGAGCAGCTTACAGGATTCATCAGGACACCTCCTCAAGCTGGCAGGAGCCATCACCTACACTCTTGACGCCCTGGATGGTGAGGCTGTTTGAACAGAGAAGCCCAGTAGCACCTGAACACATTAAGAATGTTCCTACTGACAAGACTAACAGAATATAGAAAACTTAGAGAGTGAGAGACTTGCAGAGGATTTAAGTAAAATAATTTCTGAGCCTGGGAACGAAGGTGGTTTATGCCGAGGGCACAGACCTGTCCGCAGCCGCTGCTGTTCAGCGACAGTGGCAGAGCAGCGACTGCCAGGAGCGTTACACGCAATTACCCGTCGGTCCAGGCACAGCAGGATCCCTGAAAAAAGGGCTGGGAATCAGCAGTAAGACGTGGGTAAAGGTGGCGAGATTACCTTACAGACAGAGCAGTGCAAATTCCAGGGTTCTTTCCCACAAAACATGGCTTGACCCTCCCCTCAACCCCCTCGGCCTCTACACTCAGTGTCACCCGCACCCAGAGCATCAGCCGCGTTTGTCTCGCAGGGAGGCAGCATTAATAATTCATTTTAAATGTTTGAACAACTTTTTGACCAAACAGGCATTTCCTGCAAGAGAGTTAAGGGTCACCCTTCACATCTCGCCAGGTGTCTCTAAAACACTGGTGGTTTGTTGGTTTTTTTTTTGTAAAAACCTGTTTTAATTCTGCAGAGCTAACGGAGAATCAGCTGCTGCTGTTACTAGAGTCCTTGGAGGAGAAGATTGTGAGCCAACAGCTTAAGCTGGTGAGAGAACATACATCACATTTGGCTCAAAATGAAGGGGCAGGGGGGTGTTATTTCAAGTACAGCAATGTTTAGATGATGATAGAGGTAGCAGCATCTCAGCTTGCACTGGCAAGAATAATTGCTTCAAACTTGGCAGGGATCAAAACACTCACTTTGAGAGAAATCCGCCCAAGACATGAAGACCTAAGATTTTTAACAACTGGTTTTTCTTATAATAAACATTAAATCGAACACAGCTGACCACCATTTTCCTTGAAATGGTAGTCAGAATCTTCTGGCTTCTCTGGCTCCAGACTCCAAAAAAAAAAACAACACAAAAGCACACTACAATTTTTAATTCCTTGGACATAACTAATTCAGAAAAAACCTGGGAACTGAACACACGAGCATGCTAATCTTTCAGGGCGAGAAGTCCCATATGTGGATTATATAGTGCACCTGCAAGACAGTAAAGCACTGCACGAGTCAAAAAGATCATTTACTTACTTAATGACTTCCACAGGCGGGAGTATTAAAACGCTGATTGTGCTTTTTCTGTTGTTGCTGCGAAGGTGGAGAGCATCTTGGAAAACGACATCGAAAGCAGGAAGGGGGGTTTCAGCGTGGATGCCAGCTTGTTCTCCTTCTCACAAGAGAAGGATGAAAAAATAACCATTGCCCTGGTTGGGATGAGCGGAGTGAAGCTCCAGAAAGACGGATCCGCTGTCTGCACGGAAGAAGCCTCCTCAGCCACGGCAGCCCTGTACGTGTCTCTGTACGTCCTCGATCTTCTGAGTAACTCGGATTAGGTTACGCATGTCCTGCCATGAGGGATAAATTTGAAAGTCTCTTCCTGCGAGATAGTTCCTCTCTCTAAACTTCACCCCCGCATAGGCGAGATGTTCCTTATTAACGCTCAGCGCCGCTTCGAAACGAGTATGAAAACCAGGTTTAGGGCAAGAAAACTCCTTATGGAAGCCAGGAGGTGGATGCCAAAATCGATTCTTTTTCCCCCCCCCATATGAAGGCAGAGTGCCAACGGGAAAACCCACTAGCCCGAATAGTCACAAGCCTGTCGGCCGTGCTTTACATGACCCTGGTTTTCCTCAGAACATCGTGGCAACGCAGCGCCTCACGCCAGCAATCCGGCACAGCGAGAGAAATCGGCACTAAAGCACTTACACCGACCACAACTGGGGGTCACGTGTGACTCGGTGAGCTGGGGAGCGCTGAGAAAACGGAGGGGTCCCGGGGGGGGGGATTTTTTATGACAAGCACCCGGCAAACGGCACCTCCGCCACACGGCTCCACGCCCCGCCGCCAGAAGAGCATTTCAGAACAGCGTTATGAAAACTTTGATTACTGCTCTATAAATAAAGAAAAATCATTTCTTGCTGAACAACTGAACGCTCTTAGAGCCTTTTTTTTTTTTTTTTTTTTTTTTTTTTT